ATGTACATGGGGGCGTCTTATTGATGGAAAAATATGGTATTATGATTATCAGACCTGATAAACAGAATTGTTAAGTTTTTTTTTTTTTTCAGAATTTATACTTCTACCCAGCTTTAACTGAAACTTTGATTACCACGTAAGTAATTTCTAGCTAGTCTCAAATATTTGATTTTTCACCTTTCTAGCTAGTTTCAAATATTTGATTTTTCACCTATGTACTTAAGTATTATGTCTCAGCGTTAGAGAATCTTCAATGAACATTATCCAGATCTATTTCAAACTGGCTTTCCAACTATTTGAGGCAGAACATTTTGGCTAACTTATTAAAGAATACTGGAAGCCTGAAGTTTTTTTCCTGTTTTTTTTTTCTTGGTGTTTGTTACCATAATTTACAAATCTCAGATAATACAATAAGAATGCAGGTAGTCCTTGTTTAGTGACCACAATTGGGGCCAGCAACTCAGTCATTAAGTTAAATGGTCACCAAGTGAAACCGCAACTGTGCTTATGATCTTACTTCAGCTTTCCTTTGTTTTACAGACTTGTGAAGGTCATAAATACATGGACTAGTTCACAAAGTTACTTTTTCATCACCATCTAACTGCGAATGGTTCCTGTATGAACCAGTTACTAAATGAGGACTACCCGTACATTTCTTTATCCAAAAGGGATATTATTCAGAAGAGAATAATTTAGGATTTTTTTTCCACCTAAGGCCTTATTTTCTCTTACTAATTTGATCTAGGAGTTGGTGGATCTGTTCCTATCCTCACTATGCCCCACAGCATTAGCACAGAAGCAGACATAGCAAAAACACACATTTATTACAGAAAAGCATACCTTCATGAGGAAGCCAATTCACATATGGTGTATTTTATAAACGAAAAAGTAACTTGACACTTGAAAGGTGGATGGAAAAATTACTGCATATATTTCATTTCCTCCCCTTCAAAAAAACAAAGAGGGCTGAAAAATTATAGCCACATTCTCCCAAAGGGGGACCCCTTGCCCCATTTTTTTTCATTGCTTTCACATTTCCAAACCAAAAAAAAAAAAGTATCTGTAGGCAACTCTCTTAAATGAAAAAATAAATCAGAAGCTCCCTTCTTCAGATATGGTATGTGGTAATTATTCTTAGAATTGCTCATTCACTAAAAGATTCAAACTGTGTGATGAACTAAATACTCCTGCTGGTAAAAGCTGAATTGTTTCCAAACCTCCTTGCCTCTTTTTACAGCCATCTATGCCCCTGAATATCTGCTCTGGAAAGTCAAGGACAATCTGCAACTAAATAGGGAGTTGGATTAAGGGCAGCAAGGGCAAGAGAAATGATTAGAAGTAATCTGCACCTTTCCTTCAACAGGATATCTCCATTGGATCTCTGTTTCCTCCATTATTAAAAGGAGATCAAACCTACATATATAAATGAATTTTGGATATTGTTCATAGTAAGGTTTATTAGTTTTAGTTTTGACTTTCAAACATTTTGGATGAAACATTTTCAAAATAAATATAAAATAGGCTTACCCAATACAGCTACAGTTGTTGATGATTGGGAATTTCCTAGAGGGAATGTAGCTGCTTTGCATACATATTCTCCAGAATCAGAAAAGGTAACATTAATTAAGATGATAGAAGCATCAGTTAGCGAGGTGTTTTTCAATAATACTCTTCCTTGATATTCTCCTTGAACAGAAACTCCATACTGAGGATGATGAACAGCAATAGTCTGAGCACTTTTCCCATGTATCTTTTCCCATGTAATCTGTGTTAATGTTTCATTGATATCAATTATGCACTTCAATGTAACATTCTTTCCCCAAACTGCTCTCACATGTGGATCAACTATTGGTCCAGCTAAGGCACCTAAAAAAGAGGGACAAAATAGGACAAAATATCAGTTGATGCTCCACAAGTATTTTTTAGGATAATTAACATTTTTCCATCAGCACTTTTTGAAGGCAGATACTGGAAGGTTCATTATGCAGACAGACACTGCTCATGTGGCTCAGAGCCCAATGAATCTTTGACCCATACCCTGTTATGTTATAGTTATTATTGAGACTTTAGAAGCTCTTTCTTGGAACCCCTAAAGATATTCCCTGGTCACCCAGATAACTATGTTCCATATCTTCTGTTAAACAAAGACTCCAAAATAATACACTCAGTTGCTGAATTTGCATTACTTAAGACAGGATTATTTAATTAACACACAGGTAAGCTAAGGAAAGATAAATAATACAAGATCATATTTTTTCCCTGTTATACTTTCTCTCTCATTTTAAATAATTGAAGACTTGAGCTATTAGGCAGATTAGACAAATTCACTCACCTGTGTTACCATTTAAGATAACTTTTCTCTATATTATATCACACTATGTGAAACTTTAATGAAGCCCTACTTTAGAAGTGGACTAACACTGTATTTTCCTACATGTGGAATTGATTCATGCAATTAATTTTAATCTTATAGTTTTTAATTTGGATTTTAGCATTACTTATCTCTTTATTGAAATCTTCTCAAGCTAGACAAAAACACAAAAAAGACTTAATACACATTCAATTAGAGTACCTACCTATTCCTTAGTAATAAACTGAATCCTTAAGCAAAGTCCTCTAGACCTCCCTCAATCCTCTTCCAGATTAATTCTAGCCATTTATCAGAGCTGTTAGGGAAATTGTATGCCCTAGCTCTGGCACAGAAATTTCTTGCCCCATGTTTCTGGAGTTTTGCTTTCAGTATTCCAAACAGTGAAACCTCTTCCTAACTAAGTAGGAAAGATTTGAGATGAATGTAATTCTTACTTATATGCAAAAGTCCATACCTGACTGAACATGTTTGCTGGGTACGCCTGAGCTTGTCTGGCATAAGAAGCTCTGAATGTTAGGCTTGAAGCCTGCTTTTCACAAAGATAAATAACAACACCAATTGGGCTTTTAAATTTATTTCTCTTCCATGTGTATATATAAACAGACTTATCTTTAAACCATGTATTTAAGGCAAGCAAGACTTTTTCTAAGCAAATTCTTGACAATCACCACTCATTCATTCTTGGATCACCAAATGGTCCGGTACATTTTTCTGTACACTCTCATCTTAGTCCTATCAACCCATTCATGTCACCTAACAGAATAATTATTTACCCTGGATCACATTCAATCAGAGGATATGAAAGTTCCAAATATTTTCAAAACCCCATCCCCCATTCTTCCATTATCATTATGCACTGGAGCTATCCAGCTATCACCACCTTATAAATAATCCATTGTAAATCGCTACTCCAGGCTATAAGGAAGATGCTTTTGATGTCTTTCCCAGCACCTAGATGTTGTAAGGGTTTGGATAGGAGAAAATAGGATGAAATTCAACTTTAATAAGATGGAGTTATTTTTCCACTGGGGTTCTCTGCAGCTGCCAGAGTTGTTCCTTGACAGGCAGGTGCTGCGCATGAAACAGCAGGTCTGCAATATGGGGGACCTTTTGAATTCATGGCTCCTCCAAGATCAGCAGGTGGAGGTATACTGAGAGGGACCTATGCCCACCTATAGCTGGTATACAGCTGCAACTGGGGCAAGAGTACCTGACTACAATATAACCCATGCCCTCATCACAACCCATTTTGATTACTGTGATGTGCTTTACATGGAGCTGCCTTTAAAGGCTACTCAGAAATCGTAACTGGTTCAGAATGCAGTGACTCAGTTGCCTACTGGTGCTCACAGCTGGGAGCAAATAACACTGATTTTGCAGGCTCCACACTGATTATAATTAGTTTCCAGGCATAATTTAAGGTACTGTATTGACCTATAATGCGCTTTATGGATTGGCACCTAGATTTCTTCAGGACTGTCTGTTCCAACCAATATAGCCTGGTCAGTTAGAACAGGTAGGGAGAAACTTCTTGTAATTACACATTTCCAAGAGGTTTGGGGGCTGAGACTAGACAGAGCTACTTTTTTGTGGCATTGCCAGTACTTTGGAATAGCCTCCCAACAGAAATCAGACTGGCCACTCCTTGTTGGTTTCCAGGAAACTTTAAAAACTGAGTTATTTCAGAGGGCCTTTCATTGAGTCTATATTTGATACCAACTTACTTTCTGTTTCTATGATTCTTGGTTTTTATTAGTAGTTCCAAACCTGTTCCTTTATGCAGATCTCTGCTTCACCATCAAAAGCCATCATATGAGGAAGCTGCTATAAATGTTTTTAAATTTTATTATATTTATAACTGATACATTGTTCTTCTGTTTATATAGTGCTTAAGGTGGCTCATAACAATAATGTACTGTATATCACAAAATATAGAATGGTGAAATAAATATAACCAACATTTTAAAAAGTCAGTATCATTAAAATGATAATTAAAAGTTTGCCATCTTCTTCAAAACTGTGAGTATGGGGGCCAAGCACTTGCATTTGGGGCTGCATTCCATAGCCTGGCAATCCCAAAGGAGAAACTCTCCCATTTTATCTGGTAGTTGATATTCTGACAGTAGGTGTATCTTAGAAGAGACTCTCTAACTAACCAGGACATTTCATAACAGTAGGGCTGATGTAAGTAAACAGGGAGATTCATAGTGGGAGAGGCTATCAGATCCTAAACCATTTAAAACTTTAAAACAATAGTACCTTAAATTGTGCCCAGTAGGCAATTAGCACCTAGAGCTGATCTTTAGTACAAATACTGTATGACCAACCAGGTTGCTGCATTTTCCACCCTTTGCAATTTCTGGATACTTTTCAAGGATTGCCAAAACTGGTTATAATCAAACTATGGATAATTGCCATCAAGTCTGACTGGCTCAGGAAGGTTCAGAAATTTCTTTCTGTGAGAGTAGCACCAGGCAAACTAGGCGGAACTGTATACCAACATATTCATGACACTAAAATTCAAAATGCCTTCTACTAGCAGTTTTATGTAGTTGTTAAACAGAACAAGGTACAATCATCTATAAAACAGTCATTCCCCAGCACCACCATGACAGTGCAAGACAGCTTCTCTGAAGTCCGACCTACCAGGTAGTCCAGAAGAATACCATGATTTATGGTACTAAAAATCACTGCAATGTCCAAAAGAACCAGTAGGACTGCACAGCTCAGTCTAGTTTCTGCCACAGATCAACTACCCAGATGAGCAAAGTAGTTTTAGTACATCCTTAGATGAAACTTTAAATGAAATTAGTCCATATAATTGATTTAACCCAAATACAGATAGTCCTCGCTTACTGACTGCAACAGGGACCAGCAACTCTATTGCTAAGTGGTGCAGTTGTTAAGCGCGATGTCATGTAACTGTGCTGACCTATGACATCAGTTATGTCAGTTCCAGCTATGGTCATTAAACAAATCACCGTGGGTTACTAAGTGTGATGTCACGGTGACCGCCACTTGTGGCTTTCTATGGCTTCCACATTGACTTTGCTTGTTGGAAGCTGGCTGTGAAGGTCACAAACGGCAATCATGAGACAGTGGGATGCTGCGACTACTGTAAATGTGAGCCAGTTGCCAAGTGCCTGAATTGTGATCATGTGGTCACAAGGATGTTGTGACGGCTGCAACTTTGAAGACTAGTTGTAAGTTTCATTCTTCAGCACTGTTGTATCTTTGATGGCCGCTGAACAAGTGGTTGGTAAGTGAAGACTACCTGTATTGCCCATCTCCAATTGTTTCTGCCTGGCAGGTACTTTCTAGCAAAATGGATGCATTCCAGGTCTCTCTTTAACTTTGTCACCTTCTGGGACTGAGGAAGTATGCCTTCTCTGCCGCAGCCCCTATGCTCTGGAACAGCATCCCCCAGAGACACGGACAGTACCCTCTCTCCTGGAGTTTCAGAAAGCCCTTGAGACCTGGCTTTGGTCCCAAGCCTGGGGTTAATGTGTTTGTGGGGCCCCTGTTATGGTTTCTTTTTACTGTTATGGTTTAGTCCAGTCTGTGTTGTTTTATGTTTTTAACTGTTTTTACTAGGGTTTTTTTTGGCGAGGGGGGGATTTTGTAAGCTGCCTAGGGCCTGGAGTGGGCAGCCATAAATATTTTTTTTTATTTATAAAAAAATTCCCCTCTCACCCCTATGGGTGGTACGTGTCTTCCTCAATCTCGGGCCTCTACGAGAGGCCTGGGAGTTTGAGGGTTTTGCACAGGATCTTAGCTGTTCCTAGCACTGCACTCTTCTGTACAGAGAGCTCTGATGTTGTTCCTGGGATCTGTTGGAGCCATTCTCCCAGCTTAGGAGTCATGGCCCCGAGTGTT